GCTCATTTATTTACTAAGAATCTTATGTATCCCAGGCTAGTCTCAAATTTAATATGTAGTTGACCTTGAACTTCTTCATCCTGTCACCATCTTCTCAGTCCTGGGATTATAGAAGAACCCTACAAGAGGTGAGGGATCAAATCAGGACTTTGCATGCTAGTCAACCACTCTACCTACTGAGCTTCACGCCCAGCTCTATCATCTTTTGCCAATCTTGAACTCCTCAAGGAATCAAGATATTTAACTTTGTTACCTATCTCAAAAACAGAGAGATTAAGCCTGTATTTCAACGGGGGCACCTGCATCCTTACAACTAAAGGCAAAATGAAAAACAGGAAGTAAAAAAGGTCTTTATCAGTCAAAAAGCCCCATACAGTTCACAGAACACACGAAGCCCTCTCCACTCAGAGCCTACTGGATCTTATTTTAGACACAATTTTAATAAGCTGCGTGATCTGGTTTCTTAGCCCACAACAGATGAGATGCAGCCAACTGGAAAAGGGCTGGGGGTGGTGCTAGAAGAGGCAAACACTCAAAGCATCCACACCAAAGCTAAAGACCTATAAAGTCAGCAGAAAACCTCAGACATAGCAAACCAAGATCATTTGGTGTAGACAGACAGATACACACACACACACACCCCCACACACACACACACACACACCTGGGGGGGGGGGATTAAAATCCCTGCCAGAACTATACTGTTTATGTGTCTCTTTGATAACTTTTGCCTGAAGTGTAGCTCAGGAATCTCTTAAGATATACATCAGGGGCTGGAGAGATGGCTCAGTGGTTAAGAGCACTGACTGCACTTCCAGAGGTCCTGAGTTCAAATCCCAGCAACCACATTACAGATATCTGTAATGATATCTGATGCCCTCTTCTGGTGTGTCTGAAGACAGCTACAGTGTATTCATATATAATAAATAAATAAATCTTTAAAAGACAATGACGGTGTACTCACATACATTAAATAAATCGTTTAAAAAAAAAAAAGATATACATCAAAATAATGCCCATTAAAAGATGTTTCCATGGTTTGGGGTCTTATAGCTCAGTAGTAGGGTTTCTGTTGAGAATGTACAAGGCCTTTGGTTGAATGTTCAGCAATAAAAATAAAAAATGCTATAAACATGGCCAAGATAGACTATACATGTATAAAATTCAAATCATAAAAAATGTATTTTTCAATGGGTGCTTGGTGGTGTACACCTTTAATCTCAGCACTCAGGAGGCAGAGGCAGGCAAATTTCTGTGAGTTTGAGACTAACACAATCTACAGAGCTAGTTCTAGGATAGTCAAGGCTACACAGAGATACTGTCTCAAAAAAATAAAATAGTAAATGTGGAGCAAGTGGCCCGGTCAGAGCCCCTCTGAACCTTTCAGTCCAGCTGGACTAGGGAATCTATCTCCCTTGAGCATCTCCCTATCTCCCTGGAGCATCTGCGCTCCAGCATCCCAGCAGCAAGGCAGGCATGCAGTCCAACATATTTTCTAAAATTGTCAAATTCAGACACAAATCTATATATAAAATCAAAGAAGTAAGATTATGCTCCCTGTCAAATGTGGTACAATTTTAAGAATTCTCATGACATCTGAAATTGAAGGAGTATTCCAGTAATTTTGTTCTTTCCAGAGAACTAACAATAGGAAAGGCTCAAGACTAAGACTGGCTAATTATACAGACCAAGCAACTCTAGGGATTCCAGTGTAGATACAGTGGACTGAGGATAAGACAGGGATGGTCTTATCTATATCCACTAAGCCTATTATTTAATGCAAACTATATGCTACACAAAAAGTTTGAAAAAACCTGACTTCTGTTTTTATTTTCACAGTAACTTTGACAAAAATAAAATGGGGTTTTTCTAGTCTCTGGCAGTCTAAGACAAGACAAACCATACTTGACCTCAAGAAAGGTCCTAGGACCAGCAGTGGTGGTACATACTTTCCATCCCAACACATGGAGGCAGAGGCAGGTGGATCCCCGTGAATTTGAGGTCAGTTTTGTCTACAGATCGAGTTCTAGGATTGCCAGGGCTACATAGAGAAATCTTATCTTTTTTTAAAAAAACAAAAGGTCTAGGTTATCAGATGGGGATGTAGGAATGAATACACACACACACACACACACACACACACACACACACACACACACACAGTTTATTTCAAGCTACTAAGCTAAGAACACAGTTTAGCCAGGTGGTGGCACCATGAGGTGCTGTGAGTTCAGAGGCCAGCCTGTCCAGAGTAAATTCCAGGACATCCAGGACAAAGAGAAATCAGGTCTTGAAAAACAATAGCACCGGGCAGTGGTGGCACACGCCTTTAATCCCAGCACTTGGGAGGCAGAGGCAGGCGGATTTCTGAGTTCGAGGCCAGCCTGGTCTACAGAGTGAGTTCCAGGACAGCCAGAACTACACAGAGAAACTATGCCACAAAAAACCAAAAAAAAAAAAAAAAAAAAAAAAAAAAAACCCAAAAAACCAAACCAATAGCAAAAGAATGCAGTTCAGGTGGAGTTCTTACCAATATGTAAGAAACTCTGGGTTTGATTCTCAGAGCCACTTAACATCTGACAGGGTGGCACATGCTTATAACCCTAGTTAGTATTCAGGAGGTATGGTCTGAAGGAGTACAAATCAAGGTCATGTGCCCATACTTCAGGCCAGTCTGGTATACACACCACCCTGTATCAGAAAAGCAGTTTGAGAGCTAGAGAGGCAGCTGAACTGTTAAGAGCGTTTGTTGTTCTTGCTGATGACCCTGGTTGGATTCCCAGCTTCCCATATGGTGGCTCACAACCATCTCTAACACCAGCTGCAGGCAACCAAACAGGGCGTGTATGATGAGCACATACATGCATAAAGTCAAAACATTCATCAAGTGAAATGCATAAATCTAAGGAAATTTAATTAAAAGCTTAGATCAGATAGACAGCTCAGTTAGTAAAGGCAAACCTGATAACCCAAGTGGACTCAAGAGAGTTGTGGTTGAAACACACACACAATTTTAAGGTCAAATGATCATTTCTAAACATGATTTTTTAAAAAAGATTTATAAGAAGTAAGAATGTAGTTCAGTAGTAGAGTGTTTGCCTTCGCATGCAAAGATCTTGGACTCAATCCCTAGTATATACAAAAAGCTTTAGTGAAGGCAGGTGTGGTGGTACATGCCTGAGCTCTAGCACTCAAGATCAATACCAGCAGTGACAGACAAACTCAAAAACAGTAAAAGGAGCAGGCTGTGGTGGCATACACATTTACTCCTGGCACTGGGAGGGCAGAGGGGCAGGCAGATCCCAGAGTTCAAGACCAGCACACAGCCAGAGCTGTTACATAGAGAAAACAAAACAAAAAAACCACAGCCACAGGAACTATACTGGGAGGGCAAATGATATTTAAGATTTAAATGTATGCATTGAGTCAGTGTCATCTCCCTCTCTGAAGAAGTTTGTATAGCACAGATATTAATACAAACACTAAAGAGACTACCTTAAAAAAAAAAGTATCTTTCCCAGCTCTTTACAGGTCTAACTAAACATAATTTCAAATTGAAAACTTTCTATTAGACTCCATAAAGACTACTAAAGTCTTAGAAATATATATACATGTTACTTGGATGTTTATCTCTTACTTTGTTCTTATCCCTTACATCGTTTTTCTTTTGTTAAAGTTTAAACTTCTTTGAACAAAGACCCTGCTTCATTTTAGTACAAGATTTACTACCTAGGTCTACCCTTTGAGTTCTAAGAAATGAAAGAAAGCAAAAGTTGGTAAGATGCTAATTCACAGTAAAGAATAGAATTAATTCCACAAAGTCTTGAATAAAGAATAAATGAGGGCCAATTGCTGAACTGCGCTCCAACCTTCATTCTGCGTCTGACTTCATTCTCCACTCTTCTGTATTCCTATCCCATCAGTCCTTATGGGTAATCCCAGGACCAGCCACTTACTAATACGATAAATATTTAATATAGCCCATCTGAGGAGCCAAATAAAACACCAAACAAAACTCATCAGTGAGTTAACAATATTGGGGGGGGACCCTAAGTTTTAATCGAAGCCAACGCTCTCCATAGTGTTAAATATTATTAAATAAATGGATAACCTTTCATTTAAAACAATTATTTCTAACCAAAAGTAGAGTAAAATATCTTCTAAATTGGGAGTCTTCGAGAACATAACATCTAATTTCAGCGTTAAGATCATTTTGGAAGAAGTCTGTGAAAGTAATTTCTCCGACGGTTTTCAACGTTCGGTTTTCTGAACTGAATGGCTCCTACCCTCTACCAGTTGTTCCACTAGATCCAATCCTGCAAAGCTGAAGGGTTAGTTTTTGATGACATACAACAACCCCAAGGAATAAAATGTTTCTCCACTTAATTCCCTCCTCCCTTCGGAGTGGCATTTTCTTACTTCTGACTTCCTACTCCACTTTCTATACCAGTAAGGTGGACTTTCGTGAGCAGCTAGCTGCCCCAGAGTTAAGTGAACTCAAGAAAACAGTCGTGGATCGAGCAAATGGGCCCTCTGGTCGGCCTATGTCCTCGATCTCAGGCACCTCGGCGAAGGGCGCCAGAGTAGGGGGACAGACTGGGCGAGCAGCCCTATCGACCTCAGATCACAGGGCTGCCCAACTACCAGCCGCTCCACCCCTACCCCCACCCCACCCCCCACGCCGCCCCAAGTCCCTTTCTCGGCCGGACAATAGCCCTAGAGAGCATCAAGCCTCAGGCTGGAGGGAGGCCTGGAAGGGCGTCGGGGATGAAGGCTGCGAGGACAAGAGCAACTTCGGCCTAAGCTAGGGCCCCGCGCCCGGGCCTTCCTGGGCGCCATCTCTGGGAGTGGGGTGTGAAGGCCGCCCCCTGGGGCCGGCGCCGGCAGAAGGAACCAGACGCCGCGAGCCCAGTGGAGGTGACCGCGGGAAGTGCAGGCCGCAGTCTATTCAGGGGGCCCGCCCAGCGGCCCATTCCCACAGCAAACCCCCGGCCGCTTACCTTGTGGATTCTCTTCAGAGCCATGGTGGGAAACGGTGGCGACGGCCCCCGGGGCGGGGACGGGGACGGGGGAGGGACGGGGAAGGGGCGAGGGGGCTTGAGACCGCCCAGGCGGTCTCGAGTCGACCGGAGAAGACGGGGAGCTCCGGAGCGCGGATCCGACGAGCTGAGGGCCGAGGCCCACTCAGCTTATGGGCCTGCCGCAGCGGTCAGCGCATCACCCGGCGGCGGCCCCTTTATGCGCTGCTGCCACAGCCGCCGCCGCCGTAGCTGCCTCTTCCTCGTAGGCTCAGCGCCGCCTCGTCGGCCGCCGTGGATCCCTCCGCCTGGAAGGAAGAGCCCCAAGCTCCGGGCTTGCCGAACGCCTTACGGTGGCGGAACCCGGGAAGCCTGCTTTCCTGCCTGGTGCAGGTGGACTAAGGGACGCGCGGGCGGGCGGCGCCGCCGGGGTGGGGCCGCCAGAGCGCGGGGTGGGCCCAGGCCGAGGGGCAGGTCGGGAGGCTCCGGGATTGGCGGGCCTGGGAGGGAGGGCCGGGCCGCGCCGGCGGCGGAGGGATACGGGCCGCCCCTGCGAGTACCCTACGCGCCGGCGCAAGCGCCGGCGCAGGCACAGCCGCAGAGAGGATGACGTCGCGAGGCAGTGAGAGGCGGTATCGCGAGAGTTTAGGCGCGGATTCTAGATGCTCCCCCGCCAAGGCCTGAAATCGGCCTCTGGTAACCTGTGTGCCAGTGCCTTCGAAGATCAATAAACGCTTAAAGGCCCGGGTTTTCCACGATGTTTAATCACCATCAGATTCGGAAGTAACTAATCCGACTGTCACTTTCCTGAAAAGAAAGAGCCTTTTCCAAGGTCACACAACTCTTCAGCCTCACCACCACCCAAAAAAGAGGGTCCTAGAGCGAGCATGCACAGGGAGCCCCGAAACTGCCCTTCCCAACAAAGACCTCAGACTCGAGTGTTCTATCTTCAGCCACTGGCTTCTTAGCATTAGGACATCTGCCGTGTAGAATGAGAAAATACGGAGAGGAATTTTAGCAAGGTTTCATAGCAAGTAGCAAAGGTGTTGATCACCACTCCTTATAGAAAGAGGTGGACCCCAAAGACAAAAATCTTTGCCAGTCACACAGAATCTGTACCTTAGAGGTCCTGTATGAGGAGGAACATTCTGTAGGTCCAAGTTCTGAATTGTGATGAAAAAGGCACAAAAATGCCTTTAGGTCAGATTTTTAATTTTGTCTTAATGATAACATTCTTACACTTAAAAGCAATGTAGGAGCTGTGGGTGTTAGCTTGCTGCCAAGCCTGATGACCCGAGTTGAATCCCTGAGATGGACCTGAGGAAAGGAGAGAACTTCTTCCAAGTTATCCTGTGACCTTCTCACTCAAGCACAGGTATATACACAGGCACATACTTACCCACACAAATGGAACTTCCAAAAAGAAAATACCATGTATTTTACTGATCCCATTTTGGGAAACATTTAAAAAGCTGTGTCTAGGTGCTGGAGAGATTGTCCAATGGTTAATGGTACACATTGCTCTTTTGGGGGACAAGAGAGTGGTTCCCAACAACCTCCTCAGAATCACAATTACCTGTGACTCCAGCTCTAGGGGATCCAACACCTCTGCCTTCTGTGCTCATGTGCACACACCCTTTACCCAGAGAAATCACCCAGAGAGATGCATACATAAAAATAAAATAGTTGTTTTCAAAAGCTGGTTACAAAAATAAGGGGAGGGGGGTTACGCTGTTTCTAGCTTTATTATTAAAAATAAGGGTGTGTGGGTAGGAGGCATTTAATGGACATTTGATTCACTTTAATAAGGAACTGACTACAGACCAAAGAAAGGATAATAACAAAGTCCAACTTGGTGAACCAATGCGTTTCCTCGGGGTTACTTACAAGGGTACAGGTGAGGGGGCCACTTACAGGAGCAGAGGTGGCTCAGAGGCAGCTGCACTTCTGAAAGCCCATCCCAACACAGGTGACAGCTCTGGAAAGCAGGAGCTCTGGAGCCCTGGAGCTCACTGTATGACTTTCAGGCAGCTTCACAAGTAAAACTATCTCCTAGGAAGCTAACAATTCTGCTTCTTATACTTATCTTGGCCAGTGTCCCTCTTCCAGCTAGTCTGTCTCTTCTAAGTCCTTATGTAACCTTAGGATGGGGCAGCCATGTGTATCTGGTCAGTTTCAGGGACTTCCTAAGACCCCTGGGGTGTTTACTCTCCAAGTTGTTTTTGGTTGGTTGGTTGGTTGGTTGGTTTGAAGGCAGAGCCTCACTGTGTAGCCCTGGCTGTTCTAGAACTTGCTATGTAGACTCACAAAGATCTACCTGCCTCTGCCTCCTGAGTGCTGAATTACAGGTGTGCACCACCACAAATGACTGCTTTCTGAGCTTTAAAGCACTTTCCTTTAGAATTCCCTGAGTCTTTAAAAAAAAATCCTCTGGATCGCAATGAACTTAGGAAATTGCTATATGACATTTAATCAGGGTCTCAATCTAGCTTCAAACTATATACCTGGGAGTATCCTTGCATTCTTTATTATCTTGGCTCTACCAACTGTGTGCTGGATTCCAGGTAGGTGCTATATATTCCCTTTGTCTCACAGGCTAGTCTAGGCCCTAGGGGAGAAGCTACTATTATTATTTTACTACATAGCAGCAAAATACCCATTTTGTCTTAAGGACACAGTGTTAATCTAACTCCCAATGGGTTAGGTTATTCTCATAAATTAATGCCTCTCTCAACTCCTGTCAGAGAAGCTTCTATTTGCAGAAGAAGGTAATTAATCCAGAGACCCACAACTGGCTAAGGTACAGATAATAAGAGACTTGGGAGTGCTCGCCTCAAAATGAAACATATATACCCCATCCCCTCCTCCCAAGGTTCAGACTCAGGGCTCATTACAGAAGAGGAGGCAGGAAAAGTGTAAGAGGCAGAGGTAGTAGATGACTACAAAGAAAACAGTGTCTTCTGGATACATCAGGAGCTACACATCTGATCTCAGAGTGTCTATGACAGCATCTGCAATACCAGGGCAAGCCCAAACAGATCAAATCCCAGCATAGAGAGGAATTGGCCACTAAATTCCACCCTTGGCTGTGGAGCTATTGACAATTGTTAGCTGATAGGAGATAGTCGCCACTGGGAAGGCAGCCGCTCTCCAGTAGAAGATGACATCATACACCAAGGCAGTACAAATTGGTTTTGACAGGGAAAGAAAAGACAGAAAATTGGATGAAAGAGGAAAGAAGAGTGACTCTGGGAAGAGTTTTGGGGAGCAGGTGGGAATGTATTCTAAACACATTGCTTGGCCTGGTGTGGTAGTTATGGTGGTGTGCCCCTTTAATCCCAGCATTCCAGAAGCAGAGGCTGGTAGATAGATCTCTGTGAGTTCAAGGATGGCCTGATCTACATAGAGAGTTCCGGGACAGCCAGAACTGCAAAAGGAGACCCTCTCTCAAAACAGAACAAAAACATTGTATTCAATTTTCAAAGAACTAATAAAACCTTAAAAGTTGATAATATGGAAGTAAAAGATAGAATGTTTTCTTCATTTTCCCAAGAAAGCTTCTGTTAACCTAAAATAAATATATGGTAATGTACTCAGATGGTAGAATACTTCCTACTGTGCATGAAATCCTGGGTATGATCGGTAGCACTACCTAAAAGAAAGATGGTATATTGGGCTGGAGAGATGGCTCAGCAGTTAAGAGCACTGATTGCACTTCTAGAGGTCCTTAGTTCAATTCCCAGCAACCATATGGTGGCTCACAACCATCTGTAATGGGATCCAATGCCCTCTTCTGGTGTGTCTAAGAGAGTGACAGTGTACTCATATACATTAAATAAATAAATAAATAAATAAATAAATAAATCTTTAAAAAACAAAGAAAGATGGTATACATTTTTACTTCTGGTTCTCAGGAGGTAGAGGCAGGAGACTCAGAAGCTCCAGGTCATCCTGGGCTACATAGTAAGTTCAAAGCCAGCCTGTAATATATGAGATGTCTGGGGGGAAAGCATTGATAATGGTTTAATAATGGCATAATAGGTCATCGGTAGTTAATCCTCATAAAGCTCTAATAGTACTTCCTTAGCATAAGCTAGACATGATGTTGCTGTATCAGAAAGGTATGCAAACCATGTAAAACATACATGGTGGTGCATGTATGTTATAATCCCAGCACTCCACAGGCACATGCAGGAATATCTATAGTTCGAGGCCAGCCCAGGCTGTCTCAAACTAAGACACCAAGAAAGGCAGGTGTGATACACACCTAAAATCTTTGGCAAGATGCTGAAGCAAGAGGATCTCAGAGAGTTATTGTCATGGGTAATCTTGGTTGTCAATTAGACTACATCTGGGATCAACTAAAACCCAAGCAGTTGGGCATGCCTTTAAGAGATTTTCTTGATTGGATCATTTGAAGTAGGAAGACCTGGGCCACACTAACTGCTGGCAGCCCACATAAAAGGGCACGGACAAAGGAAGCTCTTGCTTTTTGCCTGCTTCTCCTTACTCTCACTGGCCTGTTCATCTATCCTGCTGCTGAGGTATTGCTTTGCTGGTAATCAGAACCTACTTCTTCAGGATTCCAATGCAGACTGAAGCTCTCTAGGAATCCCCCAAGACTCCAGTAGCACACTAGGAATCCTGTGACATCCAGTCTTGAAGACTGAACGACACCAGGTTCTTAGATTCCTGGCTTTTCTGTCCTAAGACAGCTATTGTTAGACTACCCAGACAACATCCTGGAATCTGCTAAGTCATTCTAATAAATCATAAAATATATGGTATATATGTATATATCCTTATTAATTCTGTTGCATTAGAGAACCCTGACTATTACACCTATGTGGTGAGACTTCCTACTGCCAGGGTTTTTAAGAGTCTGAGCCTGGACTCTGGGAATTCTAATAAGCTAGACTCAGTGACTGTCCTCAACAGGCCAAAACAGACAATAATGAAAAGCAGAAAGAGATGTAATTCATGGTATCAATTCTATTCAAGGAACAAATAAGAGGCCCAGTAACTGTTCCCCCTAAGATCGTCTTCAGAGTTTTGACTTGAGGTTTAGGTTTAAACAGAAGGCAAGAGGTGTGCATGACTAAGCAGTTCTAGTCAAGGGACGTCTCCCACCCAGTACTGACTGACCGTCGCTGTCTCAATGCCAGTCTCTCCTACACAGCAGTCTGACAGGTGTATCAGACCTGAGAAATCTCGTCCCAGGAATTGGATTTCTCCTCTGGGTAGAAGAAATAAGTAAGTCCCTTTTCCTTCTAGCAGGAGATTTCCTGGAGTAATTGCAATTACTTAAAACACATTGTTTCTTTTCTGTTTCTTTTCTTTTTCTCTTTTTTCTTTTTCTTTCTTTTCTTTCTTTCTTTCTTTCTTTCTTTCTTTCTTTCTTTCTTTTTTTTTTTTTGAGACAGGATAT